TTTCACGATGTATACCTTGTTATATACAAATAAAATAAAGAAATGATGTTTACCTACTTTAAAAAAAAAAAAAAAAACAATATATCTTACAATCTAAACACTAATTCTATAATATTTTTACTTAATAAAAATTATAAGAAATATTTTACTTAATATTTTAAAAAACAATTTAAAAATTTTTTTTAAATTAATTACTAATTAAATATTTATAAAACTTTAATATATTATTAAAAACTCTTACCTAATTATATTCATTTTGTTAAAAAATTTTCTTTTATAATAATTTTAAGCAAGAAAAAATGGTTTACACTTTTTATTACAAGTAAGTTTCAACTCAAAAACCTTCAAAACAATTGATGTAGTAGGATGGAATCTCTAATCAAAATCTACTCAAATTTGAAAATCTTGTTTACTCTTTGGTTGCATAAGAAAAGATTCATAACAGTTTTCTTTTTTTTTGTTCTTTTGCATCCCTCTTTTTTTTTATTATATTATAAAAATTATCTATATCAATATTATTATACTTGCTAAATAAAACACTTTTTCAAAAATATATTCAAATAAAGTTGTTGAATTTATTGTTTGTTTTAATACAACCTTCATATATAACTTTACTATAGTACTATTTATTATACTATTTCAAAATTTCCAAAAAATTTTCTTTAAAAAACTAAAATCAGTTTACTCTTTAAATGATTATTGCTTTTCAATCATCCAATCAAATTTCATCAAAATAATAAAAAAAAAACTGAAACTGTTCAAATCAGTTCTTTAACATAATAATAATAACAACAACTATTATAATAATAAATAACATTAATTATACTCTATTATCCATATTAACAAGAGTTATATCTCTAAGATTAATACTGATACAAGAGTTAGACAATTGGCTACCTTTTAGATATTCTTTTTATTTATATAGATTTTAATTTCAATAGCTAATATTATTATAACTTCAGTTTATTTTTTTTTCAATTTTTTGTTATTTTCAATTTTTTTTATATCTAATTAAAAAACTTTGAGTAAGTAAATATAGTTGTTCTCAATTATATTTAGTATATATAATATTGTTTTAAATTTTTTTTTAATATTAGTTAGATATATATATATAAACAAGTTAATATTTAACTTGTTATATACTTTATATCCAAGAGATATTGTTTTTTTTACAATGTATATAATTTTATAGTATAATACAATAAATAAAAAGATAATGTTTACCTATTAGAAAAAAAACAAAAAAAACTTTAATATATTATTTCTTTTTATTATAAATAATATATATTATAAGTTTTATTTAATTTAAATTATTATTTATCAAATTATAAGAAAAATTCAATTCTTGTTTTTTTTATCAGACTGTATATACAGAATATTATAAAAAAAATAGCAATTATTTTTTTATTTGTAATTTAATAAAAATTATTTTTTTAAAAAAATAAATTTAAATATAATTAAATCAATATCTATAGAATAATTTTATTTGAAACTACTTTATTAATTAATTTATAATTTAATTTGATAATTTAATTTTTCATAAAAATTTTATATTGTACTTTTTAGTATCTATTTAATTTCTGTTTAAAAAATAATAAGATATATATATATTTATATAAATTTTGTTTTTTAAATAAAAGATTTTAAAAAGTAAAATAAAAGAACAAGATAATAAATTAAATAATTTTTTTTTAAAAAAATATTAATATTAATATAATAAATTTTTTAAATAAATACTTATTTAATAGTTATAAAAATTTCAATTATAAAAGAATTTTTTGGCATTTTTTTTTGCAACACCCTATATATTTATTTATTATAACAATATATTCAAATAATAATCATATTATCACTATTACTAATATTATTTATTAATAACCAATATATTCAATTAGTTATTATAAATGTATATATTATTAATACTATTATATACAGTAATTTGAAAAGTAATTTGATTATTTTAAAAAATAATATAATATATTTATTTCAAGAAAATAAAATCATTAAAATAGTGTATTTAAATATCTTTTATATTACAATTAGTCTTTTTTACATTCTTTTTTTAATGAGTATTTTTTATTTTCATATACTATAAAAAATATATTTTAAGTAATAAAATTCCGTTTATTTTAATTATCATAAAATTTATTTAATATCCTTTTCCAACTAAATTTTTTCAATTTTCAAATTTTCATTTAAGATAAATCCATTAACAAATTATTTTAAAAAAAAAACTTTAAAACGTTTCATTTCTTTTATATTTTAAAAATTTGGCCTTGTATTTCTTAATGAATAAATGGATTGTTTATTTATTATAATAAGAAAACTATTTATTTAAAAATTATATATATACTTTTTAATAAATCAATAAATTCAAAAAAAAAGTCCTCTATATACTGTATGATTTAGAACTAATCGATCCGACTTTAAATGACAGTCAATAAGCTAGTTCCACGTAGTGTCAAATAAGATATACTGTATATAAGGACTACATGGGTAGATTATATGTAAATCGTGCGATACGCGTCATCGAAATGCCAATTTTAATGTATATCAAAATTATATATTTGATAACAAATTACCAAGCTCGATTATTAATATATAGTTTCGGGTAAGCGTATTTTAAGTCAAAAAGTTCATATTTTCAATACACAGTACACTTCCTATATAAATGGTTATTTTATTACAAAATATTATATTTCCATGATCTATGATCAAAATCAATATTGAAATAGATTAATTTTGCTATGTTAATGCGAGTAAAATATTGTATTAAAAATTATTTACCATATCCCACATGTCATTTTGTTAAATTTTGACAAACAACCACATTAAAAATTATAATACTCACCCCGTGTTCATGTTAAGTCTCAACTTTGACGCAACATAATTATTAATTCAGTCAATCATTTTATTTAACATCACCTTTACAAATGGACTTGGAATAGAAATAAAAGAACGGATTCTACCTCACATGCTGATGGCACTCTTTGAACTGTTAAAAATGGATCTGTTTAATCGAAATTGATAAATTTTTCTGTACATCATCACGCGTCAACTGAGAACTCTTCACGAAGGATGACTATATAAGAACATGGTACAAGTGAACGCGTCACAAATACAAAATGAAGCATGTACACAACAATTTTGTGTGGACAAAATCTGATCTTGCGCAATATGCGATATTTTGTGAAAGGACGTTCTAATCCAACAGCAAGTGTGCGCTGCCAGTACTGAAGCTATTTCGGGCGCGTGCAAAACGTATGAGCACGTAGTACAAATAGCCCAAATTGGTGGCTGAGGATCGAGTCCATATTAATACTGAGTAAAGCTTTGAGACTGATAGCCAGACTGCGATCGGATTTCGAAATCTTGACTCAAGATGGTGTCCTCTCCTTGACTTTTGTAATCATCTAAATATCCGATCGAACTGTCCTGAGACATGAGCGAGCCGTGACCCAATGAAGAATTGGAATTTTCCATCATTCGGAGACGATCAGACTGCGAAAGCGCAAGACTCATCGACCCTTGACTGTTAAACGCGTTTTGTGTAAGAGGCCCTTGTGATGAAACCGAGTTAGAATAGCCGTTATATGTTGAGTTCTGATGTTGCTTGGAATTCTTTCGACTAGTAACACTGCTTTGCGACAAATCCTGCGTGAACGGGCCGTTGGGAGTCGGAAGTAGGGGAATGCTAAATTGAGACGATTGTGGTATTGACGACATGTCTGAAGGAATATAACCGACAGGATCATGAGTTCTCATGAAATCAGGATTATACGAGCGGGTGCCACGACGATCTGCAGATACAAAAAAAACCCCCGCTAAGTAATCTAATACATTGTTAGGCTTCAGTAAATTAAAGGTTTCATCACTCACTTTCACTTGCCAGGGGAGGCTTTGCAAAAGCCTCACGAGCATCAATTTGATGTGCCAACCCTTGTCGGAATTTATCGTCCTTACGGTAGGCGCGGCGGGGTCGACTATATTCGATTACACTAACTTTCAAATTATTGAGAGCTCCGTCTACTAAACATTTCTTATCCTTATAGTGTTCTAACAGATGGTACCATAAGGGATGCTAATAGATCGATGGAATTGAATTTTAAAGGCCAAAATACGATAAATGAAGTTTCAGATAAAGATAAAAATAATCAGACCTGACTCAAGACTTTCGGATTTCCTAGTATAACGACTCCGTAACGTGCTCTTGTTAAAGCAACGTTTAAACGGCGTGGATCGTTTAAGAAACCGATACCTTGATGAACATTACTTCGAACACAACTCAAAATGATGTAATCTTTTTCACGACCTTGAAACGCATCGACACTTGCTACTTCAATTTCTTTGTACAAGTCTTTACGCAAAGCACCATTGAGCTGCATATAGCTGACAATAAAACTCCGTTGACCTTCATAAGGAGTAATGATTCCAATTTGAGCGGGATATATCCCGGCTTTTAAGAACTTGGTTACAACTTTTTCACAATTTGAAGCTTCCACGCTGAAACAACAAAATTTGGTTAGCATTAAATATATCAACAATTGCTAGTTTACGAAGAAGTTTTTTTTTTTTAAGGACTAACCGATTCAAATAAGAAGTCCCACTGCTTGAAATTTCTTCCTGACCAAAGTTTGAATGGAAAAACATTGGAGTCTCCGGTGAAGGCCAGGGAAAATCAACGTGTTTTCGTAAACGCTCTTGAGTTGTGACGCCGTTCTGCAACGAACCTTCGTAAAACATATTGCTAGGAAATTCGGATAGACACGGATGCATACGGTACTGAACTTGCAATCGTATAGGTCGGATACCCAAAATTACCAGTCGTTCAAAAAGTGACTGACATAAACCTGCGCGAGCAGCCTTTTTGTTCATGATCACGGGTCCAAGCTGTTGGTGATCACCGACAAGAACTGCTTGCTTGCAACCAAGAACTAGTGGTATCATGCATTCTGGTTCCGTTGCCTGAGTCGCTTCGTCGATCAAAACAGTGCGAAACTTGAACCTTGACAAACGCGGATCTCCAGCTCCAACACATGTACAAAGGATCACGTCGGCATTCTATCGCATAAAACAATTTATATAAGTAATTTTCCTGAAAACGATATTCTTTATTGCTCTCAATTTATA